TCTCGTTTCAGAACAGGTACTCTGCTCTTCGTGAGGAAACCAACCTTAGCGTATATGCAATGAATGATAATCTGACGAGTATCATTACGGAGTGTGCAGTGGAAGTTGGAGGCAGGATAGTTAGACAGAACACAGGCAAGTTTTCCCACGAAACGAAGAATCTCATTAAGAAACGTCAAATCATGAAAGTCTCAAGTACAACAGACAAAATAGAACTGGCAGAGTTTTTGGATTTTGATTATTAGGCGTAAAGTATGCGATGTAAGAAGGTATAACATGGAGAGAATTGAACACGCTCTGAAAAACGGAGGAAGCGTCAAAGCAGTGAAGAGGAAATTCGGAATAGGCAAAAATTGGATGTATGCACTAAGGGACAAAGAAGGCAAAATAACTACCAATATGGATAGGATAGTTAAAATAGCGGAAGAGTTTTACAGAGATCTGTACAGTAGCTGGGACAACCACGACTTTAATAATATAAGAACTAGCAGTAACCCAGATGACATTCCACCAGTAATGATAGAAGTCAGAAAAGCTTAGGAGAGCATGCAAAGAAGCAAAGCTGCTGGTGAGGATTAGGTAACATCAGATCTGCTGAAAAATAAAGGACAGATAGTGTTAGAAACACTAGCCACCCTGTTTACGAAGATTCTCCTGACGGGAAGGGTACCAGAGTTTTGGAAGAACGCTGACATCATCTTAATACATCAAAAAAGGAGATGACAAGGACTTGAAGAATTACAGGCCGATCAGCTTGCCCTCTGTTGTATACAAGCTATTTACAAAGGTAATTGCTAACAGAGTAAAGAAAACATTAGTATTCAATCAACCAAAGAAGAAGGATTTCAAACAGGCTACTCAACAATCGACCACATTATTACTATCAATCAGGTAATAGAGAAATGCTCAGAATATAACCAACCACTATACATAGCCTTCATAAATTACGAGAAGACGTTTGATTCAGTAGAAATATCAGCCGTCATGCCGACACTGCGGAATCAGGTCGTCGATGAAGTATATATAAACATCCTGGAAGAAATCTACAGGGGATCAACTGCTACCATAGTGCTTCATAAAGAAAGCAACAGAATACCAATCAAGAAGGGTGTAAGGCAGGGGGACACAATCTCTCCAATGCTATTTACCGCGTGCTTACAGGAGGTTTTCAGAAGCCTATAATGGGAACAGTTAGGGATAAGAGTTAATGGAGAGTACCTTAGTAACCGGCGCTTCGCCGATGACATTACATTGCTGAGTAACTGAGGGGATGAATTGCAGCTCATGATTTCGGAATTAGACAAGGAGAGCAGAAAGGTGGCTCTTAAAATTAATCTGCAGAAAACGATAGTAATGTACAGCAACCTCGGAAAAGAGCAGCGCTTCGAGATAGGTAATAGTGCACTTCAAGTTGTAAAAGACTATGTCTACTTAGGGCAGGTAATAACCGCGGAGCCGAACCACGAGATTGAAGTAAATAGAAGAATAAGGATGGGGTGGAGCAAATTTGGCAAGTACTCTCAAGTTATGACAGGTAGATTGCCACTATCCTTCAAGAGGAAGGTATATAACAGTTGTATCTTGCCAGTACTTAGCTACGGAGCAGAAACCTGGAGACTTACGAAGAGGGTTCAGCTTAAATTGAGGAGGACGCCGCAAGCAATGGAAAGAAAAATGGTAGGTGTAACCTTAAGAGACAAGAAGAGAGTAGAGTGAATTAGGGAACAAACGAGGGTTAAGGATATCACAGTTTAAATCAAGAAGAGGAAATGGACATGGGCCGGGCATGCAGTGCGTAGACAGGAAAACCACTGGTCATTAAGGATAACTAACTGGATTCCAAGAGAAGCAAGCGGGTTAAGGGGAGACAGAAGGGTAGGTGGGCAGATGAGACTAAGAAGTTTGCGGGTATAAATTGGCAGCAGCAAGCACAGGACCGGTTTAACTGGCGGAACATGGGAGAGGCCTTTGTCTTGCAGAGGACGTAGTCAGGCTGCTGCTGCTGCTGCTGCTGCTGCTGCTGCTGCTGCTGCTGCTGCTGCTGCTGCTGCTGATGATGATGATGATGATGATCGCGAATATTGGCTAGAAGAGGAGAACAGGAACAACAACAACAAGAGAGAAGGCAGGGAGGTTAACCAGGCACATGCCCAGTTTGCTACCCTACGCTGGGAGAATGGGAAGATGGAGTATAAAGATTAGAGAAAAAGGACAGAGAAGAGAAAGACAAGAAAAAAGGATTGTCAGGCAAATGGGCTGACCCGTATGCAGCGGTGGCACTACACAAAAGTTAAAGGTGTTCACATAGGCCTGTAGTCCTTATAAAGCGGAAGATGGCTTTGACTGCCTTTTGAGCTGACGAAAGACGAGGACGGTACTCAGTAGCATCTGCATAGAGAGTAGCCGGTCGTCTAATTGTCGCAACGCGTCAGAAAGCTTATGTCTTTCAGAGGCCAAATCGAGGGCAACGGCTTAGCAGATGGTTGATGTCTTCTTCGGTGCCGCAGACGTCGCATTCCGCACTGTTAGTTGGTATGCTTTTGAGGGTTGTATATGCTTTTGTTAAGGCAACCCCCAACCAAATGCGACAATGAAGCGAAGCTTCACGTCGACGAATTCCGGATGGAGGTTGAAGTTTCAGTCGAAGGTTTATTTGGTGGAGTTCGTATGTCTTATGCTTGGGGTGTTCCACTCCAGCAGACACAGCGGGGTGGCTGAACGATGGCAAATACCGATTAGGGTCGATTTCATTTTCATAGCTGTTACCAGTACGCCGTATGAGTGACGTGATTACAAATAATGCTTACGCGCTTCTTGTACGGAGCAAATACTAAGCCTCGCGCAATATATGCACTAAAGAGGGACGCCGTTCAGCACAGCCAGCGAGGGTTTGTTGTAAAAGTCTCCCATGGCGGTTGAAGAAAATTTTTAGCCGTATTCGTACATGGAAGTGAGTGTCCCAGCGAAGCGGCTTAGTACACCACACTGAGGCGACACAGAATTTCGGCGCATAGCCAATCACACACCTTGCAGCTGAACCTGAAATGCGTAGTCTAGGAGGCCCTTTTTGAATTCAGCCTGCGCTCTTTTAAAGTTTTTCGTTTGAGAAGCATGACATCTGCGTTCTTTTTTTCTTTGTTTTTTTTTCTTTGAGCCCAGCGAAGTTCCTTAGGCCTCATGGTGTTAGGCCCGCACTCCGATGTTGCCGTCCAAGATCCTTGTGCCAGGAAAGCGCGCCGAGTGGCAGATGGCTCCCGCTGCACCGCGCGCGCTGTCCTCTCACCCGTTTTGTTGTTACCGCCAGGGAGCGCAGCAGACGCTCTTGAAAGCCAGCAGCAATATCAGGCGCACAGTCGTTTAGGTCCTGTTTTCAAGGAGATTCGCTCATCGGTTCTATTCGTACAGAGAACTGCTATAGTATTTTTTTTAGGGGGCGAATCTCCTTAAACTCGAGGCTTGTCCATTGGCGTTGCGTGCCGAAAGCCGTCGCGGACGGTGGCACTCATGGCGATGAATAACAAGCGCGTTCCAGACCACACATACCAGTACTGCATGACCAATAAACAGTGTATATAAGTGTGCATCGCTTGGTACTCATTTACAGGCATGAGCAGTCAATGCGATGGGCGAATTTCGGTAATACCGAACGATCCTACTGCATACAGCCGAGTCAACCTCATTCACTTCGTGGATATGCCGAGATTTTTTTAGGGGCGAAGCTCCTTATAGCGGCACCTCGTTCATCCCTCGTAGCCATTGTAGTATGTAACAAGTATAACATTTTGACCTCCAAGGTGGTGCTGGTGAGATATTTCTTCTGTGCGTTGTTGAACAATAAAAAATAGGGCTCAATGTACATGCCAACGGCTGCTATTCGGGAATGAGAGACAGGAGCATTCGGCTTTTAGTTAACGCGCACGCTGCAATCCTCATTAGCAGCCATTGGCATGTACATTGAGCACTATCTGACAAGAAAGGGTTGCTACGTTATACTCGCTGGGTGTAACCTCCTTAGTTTTAGAAAGGTTTAGCGAGCGTTGAGCCGCAGTGCCATGAATACAATGAACTAGTATATACCATGAACTCGAGGTGGTTAAAGGCGGGAAGTAGATACGAAGCGCAAGCCATAAAGTAAAAGCCGAATTCTCCTGTCTCTCATTTCTCATTAGCAGCCATTGGCATGTACATTGAGCACTATCTGACAGGAAAACGTTGCTACGTTATACTCGCTGGGCGGAACCTCCTTGGTTTTAGAAAGGTTTATCGAGCGTTGGGCTGCAGTGCCATGAATACAGTGAACTAGTATATACCATAAACTCGAGGTGGTTAAAGGTGGGAAGTAGACCCGAAGCGCAAGCCGTATGAAACTGTGCGTGTGCCACCTTTCGTTTAGTCCTTGCAATGTCCGCTGGATGGCGGTACTTCTATATGGGGAATATATGATGAAAAGATGCGAGATGGCGGTACTTGGAGTGTTGAATAGATGGATGAACAGACACACAGACAGATGCATGGATGGACGCATGAACGGACGCAGGGGCGGATGCATGGACGAACGCAGGGACAGATGCACGAACAGACGCACGCACGGACGGGTGGATGGACGCATGGTCGGTCACACAGACAGACGCATGAACTGACAGAAGCAAGCACGAGTGGACGGACGAATGCTTCGCCGCCACTCTCCATCATTCACTCCGTGGATATGCTGCCAATTTTTTTTTTCGCCGCATTCTTTATTTCGAGAAATCTACTGATTTTCTCGCTTTTCCGCACGATGCGTTTGGCGTTTCTTGCCTGCGGTCAATCTGTACATGCTTCATTTTTACGTGATCAGGGTTGAGTGGTCCGGTTTCTTAAATTTGTCTGATGCATATGCTTTCAATGGCGCCCTGTAAAAAAATAAATACATGGTAACCTAGCCACATGCAGCTTCTCTATGAAATCAGAGTACGCCGCCAACGCAACAAAAGAATAGATTTTTTTTTCATCCTTTGCAGGCGGCCCTGATAAACTCACAGAACCAGTACCTTTGCGGAGGAGCTCTGATCGGCACCCAATGGGTTCTAACGGCCGCGCACTGCGTGACTAGGTAAGTACGGCAAGCTTGGCAAGGAGTCTTCTCCACACTCGCAACTCATTTTCGGAAAGCTCACATTGCTGGCTGCATCTGTTGATGGTTGACAGCTTATGGTGTGCTGACGTGGAGCATGCAGCGGCGGCCACATTCCGCTGGAAATCGTATATGCTAGTGTGTTCCCAGTCACGGTTTGCTCCGAGTGTGGTCCAAATTATTTTCAAGTTATGTGCTGTACATAATGCATTAGAGGGCTTCCTGCTGTAAGATTCCCTCATGCATATTGTCACGAACAAAACAAGACCTGCAGCCAGGAGTTCACTTGAACCAGAGCAACGAAGATGTTCTCTTCTTCTTCGCGCCCAAAAACGCGTATGAGCCATGGACAGTGGCTCGTTCATCAATGGTGGCATTACCCCCTCTCCCAAGAAGCATCGTCTCGATGAAGGCAAAAAAAAGAAAAGAAAATTAGATGAAAATTAGCATGCGAGCAAAATGAATGGCGTAAGGCGGAATAACGTAGTTGGTTGTGGGGACAAAAGTTAGAGAAATAAGAAAAATAGGAAAAATGTAAGGAAAAGACGAAACAAAAAGAAAGACGCGAAGTTACTAATAAAGTCAGTCACTCCCTGGCGATTCACAGCGCGAAAAGTATGGTTTGAGACGTGAAACGTGAATGACTTCAGTTTGCGGGGTGAAACGGGAACGTCTCGAATTGCCTTGTGGGAGAACCTCGTAAGTGACGTCACTGAGACGTCGCACAACCTTGTAAGGGCCGAAGTAGCGGCGAAGAAGCTTTTCGGAACGTCCACGCTGTCGAATAGGGGTCCACACCCAGACTTCATCACCTGGCTTAAAAATAACTTCACGGTGGCGAAGATTGTAGCGGCGCGCGTCTGCGGTTTGGTGACGTTGAATGCGGTGACGAGCAAGTTGACGGGCCTCTTTTGCGCACTGCACGAATTTGGCGGCATCCGTGTGGTATATTCCTAAGTTGTCGGGCAGGAGCATGGCGTCGAGCATCGTCGTGACGTCACGACCGTGGACTAAGCGAAAAGGCATGAAACCGGTACTTTCTTGAACAGCAGTGTTATACGCAAAAGTTACGTAGGGAAGTATGGTGTGTCAGTTCTTGTGATCGATGTCCACATACATTGACAGCATGTCTGCAATTGTCTTATTGAGTCGTTCACTCAGCCCATTTGTTTGCGGGTGGTAAGCCGTTGTTTTACGATGTTCCGTGCCACTTAATCGCAAGACTTCCTGCAGCATCTCTGCGGTGAAAGCTGTCCCACGATCAGTTATGACGACAGCTGGAGCACCGTGACGTAAGACGATGCTGTTAACAAAACATTGGGCGACATCTGCTGCGGTGGCTTTTGAAAGTGCCTTGCTTTCACAGTAGCGTGTTAAGTAGTCTGCAGCGACGACAATCCACCGGTTTCCAGACGAAGACGTGGGGAATGACCCCAGCAAGTCCATGCCAATCTGATGAAAGGGCGCCTTTGGTGGGCCAATTGGGTGCAGTAGTCCCGCTGGTCGTAAAGGTGGAATCTTACGTCGCTGACAGTCACGACATGTGCGAACGTAGTGCTTCACAGTCTTCGCGAGACGTGGCCAGTAGTAGGAGCGTTGAATCCGTTGCAGCGTGCGCGTATAGCCGAGGTGTCCGGATGATGGCTCATCGTGACACGCACGTAAAATGTCACCACGAAGCGTAGTTGGCACAACAAGCAGATACATAGCTTGTGTAGGATAAAATTCTTTTTATAAAGCACTCTATCACGGAAACAAAAGGAAGATAGTGAGCGCGCAAAGCTTCGAGGAAGGTGGGAATTGCGTCCTTCCAGGTAGTCAATGAGCGGGATGAGCTCCGAGTCATGACGTTGTTGCTCCGCTAAGCTGGTCGCTGATACGGCAGAAAGAAAAGTGTCGTCGTCTTCAAGGTCAGTGTTGGCATTTTCGACCGGTGCACGTGAGAGACAGTCGGCGTCGGAGTGTTTCCGCCCAGATTTGTGGACGATGGTGACATCGAAATCTTGTAGCCAAAGGCTCCATCGTGCTAGACGACCTGAGGGATCTTTGAGATTCGCGAGCCAACAAAGGGAATGGTGGTCGCTAAGTACCCTGAATGGGTGGCCATACAAGTGTGGGCGGAATTTCGTCATGGCCCAGACAACAGCGAGGCATTCCTTTTCGGTTGCAGAATAGTTTTTCTCCGCTGGGGATAACGTTCTGCTCGCATAAGCGATCACGCGCTCTATGCCATTTTGCCACTGAACTAATACCGCTCCTAGTCCAACGTTGCTGGCGTCAGTGTGTAATTCCGTGTCAGCGCTTTCGTCAAAATGACCTAGTACAGGCGGAGCCTGGAGGAGGTTTCGGAGGGTGTCGAACGCATAGCACTGATCGGGACCCCAAACAAACGAGACACCGTCTTTTGTAAGCTTGTTGAGGGGTTCAGCAATCTTCGAGAAGTTTTTGACAAAGCACCTGTAATACGCACAGAGCCCCAGAAATCGGCGTAGGTCGCGCTTATTTGTGGGCACGGGAAAGGTGGCAACGGCGCGGGTTTTCTCGGGATCTGGGCGGATGCCAGCATGGCTCACAACGTGACCAAGGAACTTCAGTTCTTCATATCCAAAATGACATTTGTCGGGTTTGAGAGACAACCCCGCTGTTCTAATTGCCTGAAGAACTGCATAAAGGCGTTGGACGTGTTGTTCAAACGTGTCTGCAAAGACCACGACGTCATCAAGGTAAACAAGGCATGATTGCCATTTGAGCCCCGTGAGAACCGTATCCATCATTCTTTGAAAAGTAGCTGGCGCTGAGCATAGACCGAAAGGCAACACTTTAAACTCGTACAGACCGTCGGGAGTAATAAACGCCGTCTTTTCGCGGTCGCGCTCGTCCACTGCGATTTGCCAGTAGCCGCTACGCAAATCCATGGAGGAAAAATATTTAGCGTTGCGTATATGGTCCAACGAGTCATCTATCCGGGGTAGAGGATAAACGTCCTTTTGGTGACCTTGTTCAGTTTACGGTAATCAACGCAAAAACGCAACGTACCATCCTTCTTCTTTACTAGCACAACTGGCGAAGCCCAGGGACTGGTCGATGGCTGAATGACGTCGTCCTGAAGCATCTGCTGGACTTGGTCACGCAGAGCATCTTGCTCTTTTTGCGACACCCTATAGGCATGTTGTCGGATGGGTCTCTCAGTAGGTTCCGTGATGATACGATGTTGAGCAAGTGGTGTCTGTTTAACCTTTGACGTAGTGGCAAAGCAGTCTTGAAATGAGTCGAGTATACGCAAAAGGCTTTCTCGTTGAGCCGAAGGTAGTCTCTCGTTTACGTCGAGAGTGCTCACGAAGGCCTCGTCAGGGTGGCCATTCGATGAAAATGAAGCTAACGTAGATGGACCATCGGCATCGGCAAGTTCTTCACAATATGCAATGGCAGTGTGTCTCGTTAGGTGGCGATATTCGTCGCTGAAGTTCGTGACCAGCAGGTGAGCATGCCTATTTCTAGGCTGAATGATTCCTCGGGCAACACAGATTTGTTGTGAAATAAGGAGAGACAAATTGGCCTCTGCAATTACCGCGTCAGACAAGTCCTGTCCTAATTCTACTTTGACAAAGAGGCTGCTTCGAGGTGGGAGAGTCAGAGAATCGTCAGTAACACGGAGCGCTCTTTTCCGGAATTGCATACTGTCAGTTGCAGCGCAAAAAGGATCCTCGAACGACACAAGTAATTCACGGAGGTCGATGACGGCGCCTTATTCACGAAGGAAGTCCATTCCTAGAATGACTGGCCGAGAGCACACGCGCAATACGAGGAAAGAGCCCGCAAATGTTGACGTACGTATTCGAATGCGTGCCGTGCACATACCAGTAGGCGTCACCAGATGGCCACCTGCCGTGCGCAACTGAGGTCCTTGCCAAGGCGTCGTAACCTTCCTCAGTTCAGATGCCAGTGTTGCGCTCATTACGGAATAGTCGGCACCGGTGTCGACGAGGGCGTTAACAGCATGATTGTCGACGAAGACGGCAATTTTGGCAGAAACAATCTTTTTGCTGTCGGAGAATACTGCAAAACCGGAATCGCCCTCGTCTGGTCGTTGCGTCGAAGGAGGGTCTTTTACAGTTCGCCGGGCCGCGACTTCACCCCCAGAAGTCACCGTTCCTAGTTTCCCCTGCGGGGACTTGGTGACCGGCTCCTAAAAGGAGCGGAAGACGATGAGGGCAAACTGGGTAACGTAGACCAGCGAGGCGACGGTGATCTCGACTGGTGGTGCCGAATAGTCGAAGGTGTTCGTTGGCCCGTGAGATAGGCTTCAATTTCGCGGGGGCGCTCACCGTAGCGCGGGCGTCGAGCATCAGGGTGGAAACCGCGGAGACCTAGATGCCGGTATTTACAGTTCCGGTATACGTGACCCGCTTCACCACAGTGATAGCATAGCGGACGGTTATCCGAGGTGCGCCACGTGCTTGCCTTGCTACCACTTTGTCTTGAGATGGACGGGGGATAGGTGGGTGGGCTCGAAAACCTTGAGCCGAGAGGTGGGCTTGAAGCAGTGTCGTGAAATGGCTGCATAGCCTGGTACCTTGGCCGCATAGCAGTATCTGTAGCCGGTGGCGCAGGGGATCGCAATGCCGCTGCGTATGTCAGGACTGGGGCCTCGGGAATCGGCGGTGCGATTGGGGCTAGGGGTGTGACGGCCTGCCAGACTTCTTATCTGATTACATCCGCGAGGGCTGACACGGGTGGATGGGATCCCACTGCCTGCAGCTGTCGCAATTCGTCCCGAACGATACTTCGAATGAAGTCTGCGAGGGTCTGTCTCTCGCTGTCAGAGCCGATAGAGCATGTGGTGGCCGGGATCTGGCGTTCGTATTGTGACGACCGCTGCTGCAGCGTACGTTCCATCGTAGCTGCCTCACTGATGAACTGGGCGTCGTCGGTGGATTGCGCACGAGCCCAGCGAAAAGCTGTTCTTTTACTCCGCGCATCAAATGGCGCACCTTCTTTTCCTCAGGCATGGCAGGGTCCGCGCGCTTGAAGAGTCAAAGCATGTCCTCGACAAACATGGATACACGTTCGTTCGGCCGTTGGTTTCTGCTGGATATGGCTTGTTCGGCCCTCTCCTTCCTTTCGGTGTTGCGATAGGCGTCACGGAGCTGTCGGCTAAACTCTTGCCATGTTGCAAAGTAGCCCTCGTGGTTCTCGTACCACGTCTTCGCAGAATCCTCCAAGTAGAAATAAACTCGGCGCAGCTTGCGAACATCGTCCCATTCGTTGATACTGGCAACCCGTTCAAAGTGGTCTAGCCAGTCATCAACATCCTCGAAGATGTCTCCATGGAACGGCTTTGGTGTCTGTGGCACGTGAAAAACATGGGCGAGAAGCGAATCATGGCCATCGCTGGTTTGGACCGCCTGGCTTGTCATCGCAGTTGCCAGTTGCCATCTTTCTGGGTGTCGATGCCAAGGGACCAAATTCAGGGGGTAACCCACGCAGGCGGCGGCTGATTTTTGCTCTGGGAGATGTAGCTGTCTCCACGATGGCCGACACAGCCGAAGTACACGTACCCAGCGTCTCCACCAGTAATGTCACGAACAAAACAAGACCTGCAGCCAGGAGTTCACTTGTCTTGTCTTGTCTTGTCTCCTAGGAGATCTTGGCTCATACCCACATGCTGACGTGGAGCATGCAGCGGCGGCCACATTCCGCTGGAAATCGTATATGCTAGTGTGTTCCCATTCATGGTTTGCTCCGAGTGTGGTCCAAATTATTTTTAAGTTATGTGCTGTACATACTGCATTAGAGAGCTTCCTGCTGTGAGATTCCTTCATGCGTATTGTCACGAACAAAGCAAGACCTGCAGCCAGGAGTTCACTTGAACCAGAGCAACGAAGATGTTCTCTTCTTCTTCGTGCCCAAAAACGCGTATGAGCCATGGACAGTGGCTCGTTCATCAATGGTGGCAATATTATAACAAAACACCGCGTGCGAATTGCAGAAACCACGGTTGCTGCTTCACTTCTATGGCTTAACTTTAAGAAAAAAAAATGATGCCGTATCTGCATGTAATCTACAAATGTCGTCGAAAGACAATAGTCTTGCGTGTGGAGAGAGGGAACAATTTATTTGATGTTCCGCGCAAGAAAATTGGGGAACTGCATTTTGAAGGCGCTGCGTTAGAGCGCCTCGAGCGTGCAGCGGAGGCGAAGTTATGCATCAAGTCACGTCACACGTGAGACATGACCGCCATCTGTCACTTTTCTTGAAAAACGAAGCGCGTGCCTCTGAGAAGAGTGTGCGCGCCTGTCTCAGAGGCGATAAGGTGTAGAACGCAAGGCGACGGGTTGGTGCCACCACCGTCTCGTCTTAACAAAGCGTTAGAAACACTCGCCTTTCCGTGCAAGCGTTGCATGGTAAGCGCAGCGTGATATCACTGCGGTCCTTAAAATTACTTATGTATGCTATTTCTAGTAAAAGGTGCATATGCATATTACATATGCGTTGTTATGGTGTCCCAGACATGTACAATAATTGCTTAATAATTGACAATAGTACAAGTATGAACGCAAAGCCTTGAGCAACATTGGTGGGCGCTGCGGATGGGGTCAGCCGTTTCAAGTACCCGGTGCCGTTAAGAGTAGAAAAACTGACAAATGTACAGACAGACAGACACACCAAAATTTTTGCGTCGAAGGTCCCCAAGAAAGATTATCGTCTTCATAAGAAAGAAAAGTCTGCTTGCCTTGTGAGCTTGACACATTTGTTTAATACGAATAGCATTATTTCTACTACCGACCGTCTGGTAATGTGACCTGTGACGCCACACGCACGCGCTGATGTGCTCGAGTCGTCAACGCTGCGCATATGTAACACTGACAAGTTTTATGGGAGAGCCTTAGCTAGTATTCTTAAAGAAATTCGTTCAAAAACGCCCTCGCATAGCTTCTTTTGATGTCCAGTAATGCATATTTTACTCTATCTTTTATACTGTAATACTGAATTTCCTATATGTCTTGCACTGTCTTATTGTTTGTTTACAAGGAACTGTGGCGCTAAGATCGTTCAGCCACCAGGAGAACCATGCTAGCACATATACAGCATTGTCTAATCTTTGATCTCACAGCTATGAATTCAGGTTCGGTCTTGCTTATTGTTGTGTCTTGGCTTTTGCCTCGGCTAAAGGAATACCTCGTTCTGAACTTCGTGAGATCATTTGGATTTGCGAGCCTGAAAATTCTAAGGCTGTGAACTGCGGCTTTTGTTTTATTTGTTTTTCGCCGACATTCATTAACTTCAACTCGTGAAAAATGGGTTGCAGACCACTTGGAGCCTCCCCTCCCCCCCCCCAAAAAAAAAACAAACGAAGTGAAAGACAAAAAGAAGAGAAAAGTGCCGCGTCATAACCGTCTATCGCGCATAGGCAGACACATCAACAACACGACACAGGGGATGGAATAATGGGAATAAAAGATAGATAAAGAGAAAAGATAATAAGAGAAAAAAAGGAGCTGGGTATCATTTGGATCGCCCGAAAAACCACATCGCGCAGTTAACCGGAAAAGCCACCGAGAAGGTCGGGGAAAATATTCACCGAAGAAGCCATTGCGGGGCGAAGGTGCCTAAAGAACAAACCTTAGGCAAATCTATGTTCTACCCATCATTCCATCATTGGCTAAAGTGTCATGCGTTGCAGCGCCCGAAGAAATTATAGCGCCAGAGTTCCCTCGAGCGTTTTGTGAGAAAACTTTGTTATCTTTAGCACTGCATGTTTGTCCCGCCACGGTGGTCTCGTGGCTAAGGTACTCGGCTGCTGACCCGCAGGTCGCGGGATCACATCCCGGCTGTGGCGGCTGCATTTCCAATGGAGGCGGAAATGTTGTAGGCCCATGTGCTCAGATTCGCGTGCACGTTAAAGAACCCCTGGTGGTATAAATTTCCGGAGCCCTTCACTACGGCGTCTCTCATAATCATATGGTGGTTTTAGGACGTTAAATCCCACAAATCATCAATCATCATCAGTAGAACCGCAAGTTTTTTTATTGCTTTAGATGACATACCTTTTCTTTTAAAGCTTGGGTTAATTGAATGAGGTGTGTTCGCCGTCGTCAGTCTCGACCCACTACGGTGGTCTATAGTGGTTATTGGGCTTGATTGTTGACCCGGAGGTCGTGGTATCAAATGCCAGCTCCGGCAGCCCATGTTTTCGATGGAGGTGAAACTGCTCGAGGTCCGTGTGCCTGTAAGACTTCGGTTCACGCTGAAGAATCCCCAAATGGTCGAAATTTTTTAGACCTCCACTACGGCGTCTCTCATAATCATGTGGTCGTTTTGAGACGTTAGAGTCCAACAATTAGTAATATTCGTTAGTATTTGGCGTTTTTTCTTACTCTACCTAAGTAAACGACTGAGTTAGCTAACGTTTTACTGAGGGGTAATTCTAGACGCCTAAAGCACCACAGGAAGAAATAAACACAGAGAAAGAGAAAAAAAATGACGCTTTTTCTCTGTGTTTATTTCTTCCTGTGGTGCTTTAGGCGTCTAGAATTACCCCTCAGTATGACGAACCAACTAGCCCAACAAGTACTTCTTAGCTAACGTTTGTTGCGGTGCTGGCGCAGCCTGGTGCGCAACGGGGAGCCCGTGTTCGTCCGCGTCGGCGACCACGACCTGGGCAGCGAGCGGGCGCACCCGGGAGCGCAGACGCGCCGCGTGGCCACCACCTACATCCACCACAACCACAACGGCCAGACGCTGGACAACGACATCGCGCTGCTCAAACTCCAGGGCGCCGTGCAGCTCAACCCGCGCACCTGCCTCGTGTGCCTGCCCGCCCGCGGTGCGGCGCCCGCTCCCGGGGATCGGTGCACCGTCACTGGATATGGCTACCTGGGAGAAGGTACGCTAGTCCGTAGAGTTTCTCGAAATTAACTAGAGGGCACTCTGGCGCTGCGATCGTTCAGCGACCATGGGAATGATGGGTAGTACACACATTCGCCTAGTCTTTGGACTTGCGGGCGGCGAATCGTACTTGCGGCTTCGTTTATTGCTGTGTTTTGGTTTTGTTTTGCAAGAAAGATTCAACCCTTTTAAACTTCGTGACCCAATTTGGAAAGGTAATTAAAAAATAGAGTGGTGAAGCGCAATCGCTGAACATTTGCCGATTTTTGTTTCGTGAGAAAACAGCTTCAAGCCACACGAACATACACGGAGCCAAAAGCAGGCCAGAAGTACGAAGTTTAGACAAATGTGTGTACTACCCTTCATTCCCATGCTCGCTGAAGCGCCGTGCATTGCAGCTCCCATAGACACTAGCGCCAGAGTTCCCTCTGGTGTATATTGGGAAACTCTATGTGCTATAGTCGACCTGCCTATATTTCTGTCTGAGCTCACGCGTTACTAAGGTCATTTAGCAAGTCACGGAAATACGGCGCGCAAATACCCGTTCCTCATTTCTCGGTCGTTGACCTTTTATGAAGGCACCCCAAGAACCCAAAAGCTCAAAAATTACTGCGGGGTTGTCACACGTCATTGTTGCCTGTCAACCTACCCATTGTTCGCGAGGGACCCGTCACCCGAGGGACGCATTGCCACTGGCAAGGCGTCACGCTACCGTACTGTCTCACCATATTTACCTGCCGTATTTTCGTAACTTGATAAAAGACCTAACTTTGTAGGCACTGGCGTATAGCCGGGTCAAGGTGCTTGGGGTGGTGCACAGACGCAAACATACGCACAAAAAGGTGAGCAGGACTACCCTCTCCCCTCACGACCCTGTCAAATGTTTCTAACTACGCCCCCACTCGTGGGGAACGTTAACCTCACTTAGTTTAAAATCGATATGAATAAAGAACGAATGATACGAATAAAATGCCGGATAATGTTACAGTTGTTTCCAGGCCTAATCAGCCGCACTTTAAACAGAAAGTAAACCTTATGGCGGGCGCTTTTCTTGTAGACCTCGTTCATAATTATACAATGTAATTTCTTTTCTCTATTCCTTTCTTTCTCTCCTCAACTGTCTTTTACAATTTTGATAGGCCGGGCAGCGGGCTGGCTCGCTCACAAGTTGTCGACATACGCCACACATTGCTTAAAATGACAAAAGCTCGTTTCCATTCCAGCCCTGTAGGCCACAAGCGCTTACAGCGCATGCGCTTATAAATTTGTTTCCTACGCGCTGCGCTCAGACGAATGCTCGTTCACTCGAAGCAAGACAGCATATTCTCTAGCTAGGCAATCTGTGCTGAACATACGTGAACAGCTGATATAAGAGCAGAACAATTATTTTAGAAAGTATTCTGCTTTCCGCGTATCGTTTGCGTCAGGCGGACCGATTGCGCTGCGGGTCCGTGAAGCTGTGCTGCCCGTCGTCGAGGACCGCGACTGTACGGCCAAAATCAACGCGGTGACGGAGAAGCAGTTCCTGATGCCGGCCAGCTCCTATTGCGCCGGTGGTGAGAAGGGTGACGACGCCTGCCAGGTGAGCCCATGCGTTCCGCACATCGCGTACTGTCCATTGCTCTGAAGGGTAGAGCAACGTGACTAGTTTGTTCGAGTAACTTTGGGGTGAACAGTGTCATCGGAGCGCAAATCTTTGTGTAAGTTGGGTTTCCTTGCAGTGTCTAACAGTACGTCACGGCGGAACAGTGACTTCGGTGCTACGGTGAGCTACAGAGAACCAGCGAGCCGAAGATCGCGGGTTCGATTTTAGTTTTGGCAGTCACGTTTCGATGGAGGTTAAATGGTAAAGACCCGTGTACGATGCGATTTCAGGGCGCAGAAAGAACACCAGATGGTCGCAATTTCCGGTGCCCTCCATTACGACATCTATAATAATAATCTCATGGCTACAGAACGTAAAACCTAATATAATATTATTAATATATTTGTTATTATTAGTCTAAAAAAGGAAAAGAAACGCAGACAAGCGCTGACCTCCATAAAAACGAGCTCTTAACTCGATCGCGTTAAAGGAACAAGAAAAGTAATGAAATCAGCTCAAATAGTACGCCCTAAATATAGATATGTTAGTATGGCATCTCTAACCCACCCTAAATAAAATTGACTTTTTATCATTCAGATAACTCACGCGCGTCTGTGGCGGTGATGCTAACGTAGGAGGGATAATAGCACATCTTCGGTAGTCACGTGCGTTTTGAGTGCCACAGTATGTGTCAATAGTGCAAACTAAAAATAATTTGTAACTCGGCACCTGATGTCACCCGTCTTTCTTCGTATTTGAATAAACTTCAGCTCTGTTTCCTCTTTCACGGGTAAACCAAGAACTGAGGCAAAGTTTTGCGTTAACACAGTGATCACTTAATTATGATTTTTTAAATGCGAAGCATTTCTTAGCGAACTTCAGCGAACTTGAGCGTATCTATCTATCTATCTATCTATCTATCTATCTATCTATCTATCTATCTATCTATCTATCTATCTATCTATCTATCTATCTATCTATCTATCTATCTATCTATCTATCTATCTATCTATCTATCTATCTATCTATCTATCTATCTATCTATCTATCTATCTATCTATCTATCTATCTATCTATCTAGTCGCCTACGACTTTTAGCTCTCCGGGACGTTTCGGCAATGGTATCGATACCAAACTTGGTACGGCATATCATGACTGTATGAAGAACATATTTGAGTAGTCATAACATGAAAATCATGACATGTATGTCATGAATGTCATGCCCCACCACGGTGGTCTAGTGGCTAAGGTACTCGGCTGCTGGTTCACACGTCGCGGGATCAAATCGGCTGAGGCGGCTGGATTTCCGATGGAGGCGGAAATGTTGTAGGCCCATGTACTCAGATTTGGGTGCACGTTAAAGAACCCCAGGTGGTCGAAATTTCCGGAGCCCTCCACTACGGCGTCTCTCATAATCAAATGGTGGTTTTGGGACGTTAAACCCCACAAATCAATCAATCAATCAGTCATGAATGTCGTTATTTACATGTCATGGTCCTGCAGCTCTTGCGGTGGTTTCGTCCACATGGCATGCTGCAAAACTGGTATGGTATGACATGATTGCATGGCGAACACAAGCGACAGACCCTAACACGAAAATCATGACATCCGTGTCATGTTACAACATCACTACATGCCACGCTCATGATGTGCTCGCGGCCGTTTCACTAGCGTCACATGTACCAAATTTGGTATTACGGCACGTGAATGGATGACGAAGGTATGTGACTGGTTCAAACATGATAATCATGAGTTGCGGGTCATGTAACAACATGACTACATGCCACGCTCATGATGCGCTGGCGGCCGCTTCGCTAGCTTCACTTATACCAAATTTGGTATTACGGGACGTGAACGGATGACGAAGGTATGATACTGGTGCCAACATGATAAACATGAGATGCGTGTCATGTAACAACATGACTACATGCTACGCTCATGATGCGCTCGTGGCCGTTTCGCTAACTTCGCATGTTCCAAACTCGGTATTACGCGATGCGAACGGATGACATAGGTAAATGACACATCCAAACATGATAATCACGACATGCGTCTTATGTAGCAACATGACTACATGCCACACTCATGATGCGCTCGCGGCCGTTTTTCTAGCTTCACATATGCCAAGTTTGGTATTACGTAACGCCAATGAATGACGAAGATATATGACTATAGTGCGAACATGATAGTCATGAAATGCGTGTCATGTAAGAACATTACTACTAGCCATTGTCAAGGCGCCAATACATTTCGACTTGACGCGCTGCGCGTGCTCGCCGGCGTTCATTTCGTCTCATCACGCCGGCGTTGCCATGCCTGGCGCCGGTCCTGCCATATACTCGCAGGCAAGCGCCGCGCTGCGTTGCTTTGACGCATGCTCGTTTTAGCGTGTCCAGCGTCCCTCCGTCACGAAAAGAGGGAGACGCAGTGTTGTCTGGGTAACGCATTATCACAAATTGCAGCATGTCGCATTTCGCGCTGGTTGCCGTCGGGCCGCGCTGACGGACGCGGGTCGCGCCTGGCATCAGACTATAGAGTGTTCGCGTTTTGCTAACGTAGCGTCGCTCTGCCCAGCGTGCGCGTGCGTCAACGCTTCATTGGAGTATATTGGGCTCTTCATGATGCGCTCGCGGCCGTTTTGCTAGCTCCGTAGATCAAATTCGGTGCTACGTTACTTCAATGGTTACGAAATATATGACTGGTGCAAACATGATAATCCTGACACGCGTGTCATGTAAGAACACAACAATATACCATGCTCATAGCTTGCTCGCGGCCGTTTCGCTAGCTTCGCATATACTAAATTTGGTATAACGTGACGTGAATAGATTACGAAGGTAAACGACACATCCAAACATGATAATCATGACACGAAAGTCATGTACGGCATCATTTACCTCCTCCACGTAACGTTGTGCTGATTATAAAGTGACATATCAAACTGTCTCATTTGTGCTTCGCATATCATCGATTTCCACTGTACGCGGAATCTGCCAATATTTTTACTACGCCACTGTGGAGATTGTTTTCCATGTCTCACGACCCCGCACTGTATACGCTCTTACCGGCGGGGGCCGGCTATATTTGACGTTTTCGTGCCTTGTTCTGTAGCATTGCATATCGGGCTACCGCTTAGCAGGGTGCTTTGTAACGTTGGATCACTTTTAACGCGTTTGATAGCGTTAAAGGACTCGTTTCGTCGAAATTATGTCTGTCTGTCTGTCTGTCTGTCTGTCTCTCTGTGCGTCCGTCCGTTCGTTCATATGTCTGTCTCTCAATCCATATGTCTGTCCGTCCGTCCATCTGTCTGTCTGTATGTCCATTGGTCCGTGTGTCCGTACGTCCGTGCATGCGTCCTATCGCGTTCGAGAATGCAGACGGCGAGCGGCTAACACCAACGAGACGCGAGCGAGCGAAGCCTAGCGCAAACGTCTTCAACGAGCCCGCCGGTCTGCTTCGTCCAAGCCTCACGAACGATCCACCACGTACCACGACTATCCAGGAGACTGAGGGAGGCACTCCTTCCTCGCGCACCTGCAGGCACTACCGGCAATGGTGCAGCAGCCAATCGGAGAGTAGCGGTACAGCACCATCAAGAACAGGAACAATGTCACAATCCCGCCATGTACGTCATCACACTTCCCGACATGTATATACAATGGCTCATACCCACGGACAGATATGTTCCACAGGTGATTGACAATTTGTATACACTCAGGAACGGTGAGAACACAGATGGGTAATTTTAACGCATGACCGTTAAAAAAAGTCATAGCTTTGCCACAAAGGCGAAGCAATGAACGTGATAGCAACAATTTGAAAGGTCACAGGCAGAATATAAAGCAGATTGAAACGTGTTCCGCGTTTCTCCCGCACAAATTACGCACGAAACGTACTCACAGGTACCGATGCACGCGAATAGGCGTCTTATTTGTTACTTCGCTGAGTCTGAAAAGCGCGCACTTTTCGCGAACGGAGACTGCAATGATTGCAGTGACCTTTGTGCACCCGGTAATTACAGCAGAATCGTTCCGCGTACAGCCCGATGCCAGCCAAGCCGTACGATCCTCCCCTCCTCGCCACCTCGAGAAAAGGGCACGCGAGGGAGCATCGCTCCCCTTCTCTAAGCCGAGCAAAGTACGCGTAGTAGATTAGAGCGGGTGTCGCTTCGCGATGTGGCTACGTGCTCACATTGCGCCATCTTTCCAGTAATGACGAGAACACAGCAGCGGTAAGCGGTAGATATAAATAGCTTGCCGTTTGAACGGCGAAGAATGTTCTCCGGGGTGGCTTTGTGGTTAACGCCTCGCATTTACGACGCAGAGGTCCCACGTTCGATTCCGCGTGCCAAAGTGCTTTTTTCTGGATTTTTTTTCTTTCTTGCCTTTTCATTTGTACAGATACGTATACATATACGGTGCATGACATCGACGTCGACGCCGGCGGCAAAATTAAGCCGCTAGTGTCCATGTAATTGCGATCGCAACAAAAGCTGACATCGGCAGTATAATCCAGACTAATGCAAAGAATAAATGTCAGGGGGGCAGCAGCAATCGAACCCCAGCATTCAGCGTGGCAATAAAGCATTGCACCTCAGAGCCACGCCAGGGCTGATACTGCTTAGGAAAAAGGCCCTATGCAGTGAAACGCCAATTGTGGTTGCAATGCTAACTATCATATTTTATAACCATTACATATGTACTCCGGTGATGTAGCAGTCACAATGGTTTAAAGTCACTTTTACTTAAGCGTCATTCACTGAAGTTTATTTATGTTGCAGTGCCCGGGGCTACCGAGCACCGGGGCTTTATATCAGCTTACCGCTTCTTCTGTGGCCAATATCCACGTTGCTGTTGGCATCGTTATGAATCTGTACACAACTGGTTATATAAAACATATGCGGCTGTTTAACGTCTCTCTCTTCTCTCTCTCTCTCTCTCTCTCTCTCTCGTTCTCTGTGGTGTGTGTGTGTGTGTGTGTGTGTGTGTGTGTGTGTG